CCAAGATTAACCTTCAGGGTGGATATAGCTCGCTATCAGCTTTGCACTGATGACCTAGTTGATGTCATCATTTGCCCAGAATGCTTTGCGTGTAAATAAAATGGCCCTGTCCGTGTAATATATTTTTAAACTTTTAGTTTAAAAATGATAAAAACTGAACATCCTACAGTATTTTTACAGTCTGTATTTTACAGTTGAAGTACATGCTTATCATATAAAGTCTAATGTTACAACTAATCGGGGATCCCTTTAAGAAAAGAAGAAGAAGACTTCTCTAAGCTTGATTCAAGCTGGACTTTACTATTTAACTCCTTAACTAACTAGTGTTTGGACAAGAAACTGCATCCATCATTATCGTTCTCAGGCAAAGGACAGATGAGTGACAGGACAGGGGCACTTCAGGGGGCCAGTCAGATTTTAGCTGGGGCCAATGCCCCTGTGGCCCCTCCCCTAGAACCGCCCCTGTTGGGAAAGTCAGATGTGATTACATTTATTTATTTTCTGCCTTCATGTTGTCTTTCTTACAGAGGTGGACATCCTGTCACGCATCTGCCCTTGTGAAAAATGTGCTGAGTATCCTAAAGCTTAGTATACTTTAGCACACTTTAAGCCAGACTAATGATCAGTATAAAATGTCATTTGGTCAATGTTCCTTCTCATTTAGAGGCCCTCATACTTGGAACACTTTACCATCAGCAATGAAAATGTTGACAGATATTAAAGTTTTTAATTCTCAGGTGAAACATTGGCTGAAACAAAAGCAAATACTGTATGTGAACACTGAGGAAAACCAGCCCAATTTGTTGAGTTGTTTAATTTGATATGTGAACCTCAAGGCCAGTGATAGTACATGGGATTATCCTTACTCCTTCCTTGCTCTTATTTTCCATCATGTCTGTTTTTTCACAGGCCTTGAAGAGTTGGGTAAAGATGATGGCGACTGCAGGACCTTCCAGTATGTCTTCCTTCCTGCCTTTATTGGGAACTCTTGAAGACAGCACAGCTAGACAGTCTGAGCAGATAGACGCTTACCTCACCATTGCCAAGTGAGTTCCCAGTCCATCATAGGACAGAGATGACCTCTGAAATATGAGAAAGAAAAAAACATTGCTATTCTTTTTTGCTTTCCAGTCGTCTCAGCGGAGAGGAAGGCCGTCAGTTTCTCCCAGCAGTTGAAAAGGACTTTTCTCGGTTTGGTAAAGCCATGTTGGTGAGTCTTCATTTAAATACACTCACAAGCCATGACATTTAGCCTCATCTGCTGCTTGACTTTCAAGGAAGTTGAATATCACACAGCACACATTCCAAAAAACTTGAAACATTGTGTACAGTTTAAGTGAAAACAGAGTGCATTATTTTTCTAATTTCATGAGCCCATATTTTATCTGCAATGGAACAACCCTTGCATTAGACGAACGATTCTCATAACTACTCAGCCACTTCTGCCCCCAATATATTGTATGTGTGTGGGAGATGGTTAGCAGAATGTTACATTGAAAATGCTAGGTTCAAGCCACTTATCCTGTTACTAAAATCTCTGTTTGCTGTCTGAAAGGTACAGAACTTCCATTGGTAGGGGCGGATTTGATAGAGAGGGAGGAAGGGCAGGGAGGCAGGAGGTTCAGTTTTGATGTTTAGCCAAGCGGGGGTGCAAGTTAAGCCGCCAGGCTTGTAATACACTGGGGGGAAGACTGAAATCCATTGATGAAAGATCAGTTCTAATATTCCCCTTTGCAGTTTTAAAAGGGATCCATGATTAGTTGTAACATTAGACTTTATTTAATAAACATATATTTTAACTGTAAAATAAAGACTGTAAAATACTGTAGGATGTTCGGTTTTTATAATTTTTAAACAAAAATTAAAAAAAATATATTACATGGATGGGGCCATTTTATTTACACGTAAAGCATTCTGGGTAAATGATGACGTGGTTAGGTCCTCGGTGCGAGGCTGCTAGAGCGAGCTATATCCACCCTGAAGGTTAATCTCGGACAATACATATATGACAATTGGCTCTTTTAAATGAAACCAGAGAGTGTTGACAGAGAGGAGAAGGTAGAAATGACTCAGCCTGTTACTGAAAATATAGATGGAGGACCTCAGTTCAGCTTGCTAGTTTGTTGCGCTAGCACAGAGCTAATAAGGCAATAGTGTCAGCGCTAGCGCGAAAGCTAACAGACTAAGCTGTGGGTCTTCTACCATGAAGCAGCTCCGTTGTCCTCCATCCACATTTTTAGTTGTAGACTGAATCGTTTCTACCTTCTCCTCTGTCAATGCTCTCTGATCATCAGATATTGTCCAAGATTAACCTTCAGGGTGGATATAGCTCGCTAGCAGCCTCACACCAAGGACCTATCCACGTCATCATTTATCCAGAATACTTTGTGTGTAAATAAAATGGCTCCATCCATGTTAAAATATAATTTTAAACATTTACAAAACTAAACAGCCTACAGTATTTTTACAGTCTTTATTTTACAGTTAAAATAAATGTTTATCAAATGAAGTCTAATGTTACAACTAATTGTGGGTCCCTTTAATGACTCTCCATCATTTGCAGTATGGTATGCCCTGTGTGTGTGCTTAAGGCACTCTCTGAGTTCCTGTCTTCATGTCTTACGATATTTGTGTGTGATAATGTTTTCAGGTACACTTGACTAGTCCATGTGCAGAGTTATGCCAAGCTGCTTTACAAGCTTTGGGGTTCTGTGTGTATCATTCTCATGTTGTCGCTGGAGTGTCTGGTAGGTAATCCATAACTCATCACTTCAGATTCTGCAATTGAAGCTTAATTTTAATTCACACTTTTTTTCAGAGGTGTTTGTAGCACAGATACTGTCAACAGTTTGCTTGTTGGTGGTGAAATCAACTGATAAGAACACCTGCACTAGAGCATTATGGGTCATCTCCAAACAGAATTTTCCTGCTTACACGGTTGCAAAAAGTGTGAGCATCAGTAGCAGTTTGACATTTAAAATTTTTTAAAATATGTCTGTCTGTGGTGATTGTTTTTATGTTTTGTCTTTTGCAGGTGCCAACTATACTAAGTGCTCTTGAGAGTGTGTGGAACAGAGAGGATATTCAGTCTGCAGTGATGGAACATGAAGCTCTTAACGTTGTCATCAGGTAGAGGATTGTATTCTCACTGGTCACTCACTTTCATAACAACACTTGAACCTATAAAATTATTGTATAAAATTGCCCTATAAATTTTGGAATAAAAACATTTTTGTACCATCATTTTTAAGTTCTTTAAAATCTTTTTAAGTGCATTGTTTCTACTTTTATCTGAAGGCAATATGTTGTGCTGTTTCTTCCTCTGTGTTGGTGACTGTCTGTAGGATGTTGGAACAGGTACCAACTCAGATGGGTGACAGAGCAGTGACATGGGCAAAGCTGGTGGTCCCACTGGTAGTGCACTCTGCCTCTAAGGTGCGTCTGCGTGCTGCAGCCGCCTTGGAGATGGGCATTCCACTGCTCCTGGCCAGACAGACAGAGGTGGCTGCTGTTGTCGAGCCAATGATGTCCTCAGTGAGTTTCTTTCCTGTTTGTAGTGTTAAAATGCTTCGCTGAAAGTCAAAGGCTGGCAATATTGCTCAGATCTAATCTTTTGTCAGTTGTAGTGTCATAACGTGTTTGTTGTTCCACAGAAACTGATCCCAGAGCTGCAAAAGCTTTTCATGTCAAAGAATGAAACAAATGTCTTGAAGCTTTGGCCCTTGTTTGTGAAGCTGCTTGGGAAGGTACGTCTTTATATGTTAAAACTTTTTCTCTGCTTTTTGCAGTGACATTCAGTAAAATCCCAACACAGGCTCAGCTCCCAGTAAATTCATAAACATCTGAATTTAGACAAATCTTCACTGTAAGACTGATTAAAGTGTTACTTTGACTATTGTTAAAATTGTACATTACGAAATAATTACTCATCATTTGCACTACTACTGGACTGCAGTTTTTTGTACTACTATTAACTACTGGCCACTTTATTGTTCCATATTGTTGCTAATTTTGAAGTTCAAGTTTATGTTATAGAAACTATTTTGTCTCCTGCCCTGCCTTTTTGAACAATTATGTTTATAACATATATTTCATTATATAATGCCCTAGCTAGTCAGTCATTTTGTAATGGTGTTTTTACTGTAGTTTTAATACTGAATTTGTGACTTTAAATTTCATCCTCTGTTGTGTGCTATTCAGAAGTCATACAGTATACAGTGCCAATGGACCATAATGCATTGTGGCTTAAGCCAACACAGCAGGCTATTCAAGGCTAATGCTTACAACCACAGCTCATTTTTGTGATTTTCAGACTTGTTGAAAATGCCTTTTAATTAGGTAGACCTCTCTGATGTAAAATGTCAGAAAACCTCCAGTTCAGAATTTATTCAGAATCACACATTGATGTCTGAAAACGTTTTTTACATGTTTGGTCAGAGCTTCAACCTGTTTGGGAGAGTCTATGTCTATATTGAGGATACAACTGAAAATGACAACTTATTTCCTGCACAGCTGCTACACAGGGGGGGTCCCTTCATCAATTCTCTGCTGCATCTGGAGGAACTGGGTTTCCGTAGCTCCTCTCCCACCATTAAGAAGATTGCTTTTATTGCCTGGAAGAGTCTCATCGATAACTTTGCTCTCAATCCAGGTGAGCTCCCCTGTCCAAGGGTAACCCCCAGGTTTTGACAAATGCCACTGCCCAGGGCACATAAAATGTATAGGGCTTGTGGATGATTCCCAGTCCCTGCTCGACCAGGCATGTAAACTATTGCTTTTACTTTTTATAATAGCCATTTAATAGAAAAAAATCAGAAAATAAATGAAGAAATATAGCATTTTAAAAAATACTTAAATGGTATAAATCATCATAATTTCTCCCTCCTGCTGTACAGCACACATAGCAGGGCTGTACACTGAGACGCGGGATAAGCGCACTCAAGTAACAAGTTACTTTTTCTTTTTTAGTATTGAAGAAGCGACAGGCAAGCCATGACACATCACTATTATTTTTACTTTGTTGTTGTATGGTCTATTGTGGTAACCAAGTGTTGCCTTATTAATGCAGGGCTGATAGTATTCCGGCACGGTGCCTGATTTCTGGCTCACCTCCAAGGGGGGGATCAGACCTGCCTGGCCAAATATTCAACAGACATTTCTCTGGACCTATAAGAGGAGTAGCTTTCACTTTAAACTCATTAGACAGGCCTACTAGCCAATCAGAAATCAGATGGAGGCGGGACTTGGATATAGGGTTGGGCATTATCTGCAAAACAATTAATCACGTTTGTTGTGTGCGAGCAGCTCTCAGAGGTCTGACACAGTATAGGGAAGGAAGGTGGAAGGGGAGATCTGCTCCAGAACCAGGCTTATTGGGCCTATACCAATAAACTAATAGTTTTACATCTAAAAAATCTTTTTTTCTTTTGTTTTTCCTCCATTCAACAGCCTAATTATTTTCTGTTTTGTTATATTTTATAAAAAATATGTCCAAGTTTAATAATGTGTGAGAAATCCATAATTAGGACCTTCTTCGCTTAGCCTTCAGAGGTGCCGGATGCTTTTTTGCTCTCTCCTGAACCAGTCCCTCCTACCCTGCTTTGCAGCTTTTTCAAGCCTTTTTTTTCTACCTACCATCCGAAACAAAAACGAATTATGGGTTTGGTCAACTGGTCTCCGAACGCAATTGACACTATTTTTTCCACATTAAGATTGGAACGAGGGGAACGTAGCTGTCTGAGTGGAATGGTTGCTGCTAGTCGTGTCAGTGGTTCCTGGGGGGCTGGAACCTGATGTGTCTGGCACCACTTTCCATTGACGACATGGAAGATTTTTATATATTTGGATTTATGATAACTGGATTTCTACTGATTAGCTGAGGCGGATTTCTGATTTATCGGAAAGTGAAAGCGATCCTGACAGCGGTCCGGGCCAGTGAGAAGCTATCGGGCACAGTGGATGGAATCTGACATTCTGTGGGTGCACAGACTCAAATGCTGGGGGAGATAAGTCTCAAACTGCGTGTGATTCTGACAAGAGTTGTAGGTCAGGAGCGTGCCTCTGGCATGTAGGATCACACCTGGGTGAAGCTTCAGACGGTGAGAGGCGAGGAAGACCGGAAATTCGGAATAGTGGAATTTTTGTTTGCCATTTTCAGAGATGCAGTAAGACTGAAAAGCTGCAAGAAATTCAAAACTGCTTGTCCCAAAACAGTTATCTATTGGCTCCAGCTGCTAGGCCTTGACTGCCAACATATCTTAACGCCCAGGATGATACGTCAACAAGGGCTTGATTCCCTTCCCTCCCCCGCATCACACGTGTCGGATCTGGAATGAAGGCCGAGGAGTGTGGGAAGGAAAAAATGTGGCAGAAAATGCTGCACAATGAGAAGAGGTGACCGGACCCTGAGAAAGATTGTGGAGAAGGGCCGATTCCAGACCTTGGGGGACCTGCGGAAGTGGTGGACTGAGTCTGGAGTACAAACTTCCAGAGCCAGGCGTGTGTAGGAAATGGGCTACAGGTGCCTCATTCCCCTGGTCAAGCCACTTTTGAACCAGAAACAGCGGCAGAAGCGCCTGACCTGGGCTACAGAGAAGCAGCACTGGACTGTTGCTCAGTGGTCCAAAGTACTTTTTTTTGGATGAAAGCAAATTTTGCATGTCATTCGGAAATCAAGGATCCAGAGTCTGGAGGCAGACTGGGGAGAAGGAAATGCTAAAATGCCTGAAGTCCAGTGTCAAATACCCACAGTCAGTAATGGTCTGGGGTGCCATGTCAGCTGCTGGTGTTGGTCCACTGTGTTTTATCAAGGGCAGGGTCAATGCAGCTAGCTTTCAGATTTTGGAGCACTTCATGCTTCCATCTACTGAAAAGCTTTATGGAGATGACGATTTCATTTTTCAGCATGACCTGGCACCTGCTCACAGTGCCAAAACCACTGGTAAATGGTTTACTGACCATGGTATTACTGTGCTCAATTGGCCTGCCAACTCTCCGGACCTGAACCCCATAGAGAATCTGTGGGATATTGTGAAGAGAAAGTTGAGAGACACAAGACCCAACACTCTGGATGAGCTTAAGGCTGCTATCGAAGCATCCTTGGCCTCCATAACACCACAGCAGTGCCACAGGCTGATAGCCTCCATACCACGCCGCATTGAAGCAGTCACTTCTGCAAAAGGATTCCCCACCAAGTATTGAGTGCAGAACTGATCATAATTATTTAAAGGTTGACTTTTTTTTGTATTAAAAACACTTTTCTTTCATTGGTCGGATGAAAAATGCTAATTATTTGAGATAAGGATTTTTGGTTTTCTTTAGTTTTTTGCCAAAATCATCAACATTAAAACAATAAAAGGCTTGAACTACTTCAGTTGGTGTGCAATGAATCTAAAATATATGAAACTTTAATGTTAATCTGTACATTACATAAAATAATGAACTTCATCACAATATGCTAATTTTTTGAGAAGGACTTGTATACACTATATTGATTGATTCAGAGATAAAATTAAATCACAAGTCACTTGTGGCAGCAAACACAGTTACTCCATTGATTTAACAACAACGTGGCATCACCTCAGTAGTGCTTGTAGTATTTACACCACTGAATCACTCATTCTAACCTGATTTATTCTAGCAGAATAAATGAGAACTCTTCTAAGACACAGCTAAAAGAACCTTTATCTAAATTAACTGTAAAGGACCAAGTTATGGGGAAGAATGAAGTTTGCGTTAATTCTAAACTGATTTAATTCATAATGGAGAGCACACAACCAAGCTGCCATGGAAATTAGCGGTGCTTACCGGCGCCGTCTTCAGACCTCTGGGGTACTTTGTAACGGGTTTTTGGTCAAAAATCTTGGCTTACCTCCAGGATTGACCGTTCGCCATAGACTGGCATAAACAAAGCCCCGTTTAGATAATCTGGTGCTTTCAGTAGGGTTGGCAAAACCTCTTTCAGCTAGGCTTGTCACGATAACAAATTTTGCTGTGTGATTAATTGTCTCAGAATTTATTGCGATAAATGATAATATTGTCTGGTGACTATTTTTTTTTACAACTAATATAATGATAAAAGCATAATAATGCAAGTACATTCTCTCAAAGGTCAATAAACTTTATTTTTTAAAGAATGTTTAACATTGGAACTGGAAGACATTTTAATAAAACCAACAACAAAAAATAAAATGGACTCTCAGTCTCTGCTAACAAAAGTGCACTTGAATAAAAAACGTAATATCCAAAATAAATAAAACCAACAACAAAAAATAAAATGGACTCTCAGTCTCCGTTAACAAAAGTGCACTTGAATAAAAAACAAGGAATGGCAAAATGGTAATTAAACACCACACTGCAGGAGGATCTTAATTAATGAAAAGTTGCTAAATTGTAAGTTTTCTTATAATTTATTAACATAAAAATTGGGGCACCACCTGTTAATTCTAACAGGAAATTAATCTCGTAATTTTGACTTAATCTCATGTACTGAAGGACGGAGCGCTTTTCAGTTTTATGACGGTAAACACGAATAAAAGACGCACAGACAAAGCATAGATTTCACAATATACCCTATATTGTGGATTCAGAGAGAAAAATTACAGCACAAGTCGTGTATGGTAAGTAAAGACATTTGCTATCCCAACTGCTATGAATTTAAAATAACAAATGACATCACTTCAGCCAATCACTTCCAGTAAATTTTACGCTACAGAATCATAACTCACTATTATCTATTCTAACAAAAGAAGTGAAAACTTCCCAGATTAATAAAAGAAAGCGTTAATTCATTTATCAAGAGGGGACATGAATTATAAGGAAAATCATCTTGCCAGCTCTTCCTTCAGAATCCAATCATAGCTACCCAGAACTCTCTCTCTCTCACCACTTCAGCTGAGCACACCACCAAAGCATAGAAAGCTGTTCTTTCCTACCATTTCGATGCGAACCAGTCAGTTCTGTCCCAGGGTACCAGATCTGAGCGAGGATGAATCACTGGTGCCGCTCGGTCTCAAAAGGGGGTCCCGTGTGGGTACAGCTTGGCCGCACTGAGACTGTCTGGGGTCGCCTTTAAGCTAGTGATGAGGAGGTCGGTTCGGGTCCCGATGGATCGAACTGAAGTTCTGGTCAGTTCAGTTTCCCGAACAAATTTCGTCCCTACACTACAAAAATTAAACAAAAAAAAAATTAAAAATTAAAATAAATGTCCCCGAAGGGAATGAAGGAACCTGAAATTCCTTGTCCTCTCTCTCTCGCTGCTGTTTTCAAACTCTCTACAAAAAAAAAAAAGTTATCATCTTGTCTTGTCTTGTTGACTTTACAAACTTCTGATTGGCTGAGATAGTCACATGGGTTGTCACCAGCTTCACTGACATCACGGTTTATGCTGCTAAAAATGATTAAACAACACAGATTGATGGGGTTACTTGTACAGTGATTAAATCAAGATATTATCACATTGATTGAGTTGTGATAGAAAAATACATTGTTTCTTGTTCTTTTTTTTTTTTAATCAGATGAACAAACAGAAATTTACCCTGAAAAACATTTGTTCATGATATGATTATGAGATCAGCCTTTTAGGGGCGCTCTAAGACCATAAATGAGATTGTATGTTAGGTATGTCTTTGAAGATCGTTCGTGGGCATTATC